AGAATTTGTTACATGTGGACATATGACAAGAGACGGTGTGAAGGGGAGGGTAACTTCTTATCTACAAGTGTTGTTAAGCTCTGGAATGTTTTCTTCATCGAACAGTGAAGTTTCTTCTTTGGAGATTTGTGAAATAATACTTAGGTCGAGGAATGTACCAAATGACCTGAGGTTTGGTTGTTTTAATTTGTGAGCATTCTTCTATCGTATTTTGCAAGCATTTTCAATTGAAAAGTATCTGAGCATTCACTTCTGTCTTTTCACAAAGCAGCGTCTTTTTTTTTCCCAAGTTTTTCTTTCTTTTTTAGCATTTGTAATGTTTTGGTGCTGAACTTTGATTTATGTGTGTCTGTCTTGACATCTCTTTGGAGAAACTCGTTCTTTAGGACGATTCTCAGCCTCTTGCATTTGAGGGCCCGCTTTGGTCTCTGAGGACACGTTTTTACCCTTGAACAGTCATTGGCAGGCACAGACATGTCTGGCCTGCCCTCGATCTTTGTCTCGCTCAGATACAACTTGGCTGTTGCTGTGGCCTCATTCAGCGCTCTGGACAAGGCTGTGGGCAGGTGTGTAGCCCTACAAAATACTCCAAGTCTGAATCTTGTGATGCGAACACAAAAGGAGTGTTCAACAGCCAACATCAGTAGCCCCGCCGTGACACCTGGGGTGACAGCCTAGATCCCTACAGGCTGTCCAACCAGCGGTGCTGATCATGGTGACTGTGTTAGGATGTATGGGGTCTGGACAGCTGAAAACTCCGCATCCCTGTTTAGTAGGGCCTGTGCCCCGGGAACCGGCTGGACCTGGAACAGAACAAACCAAACGAAGAGCCCATATTAATTTCAGAGAAAAGTAATGATGTGACTATGCAGAGTGAGTAAAATGTCATTTTGAACACTGTGCTTTTTGGTGTGTAATCCCAAGAAAGCCTTCTTTTAAAAACTGGTATTGTGAGGAAAATAAACTGTTACACCATTTCTGTCTTTCACTGTTATTAATAGCAGCCTCCATCACTGCTTCTTTGTCTTGTCAGGGACCTGTGGATGGTGTCACTGGTGTTAACGACATGGAAGCAACGTTATCTTATCCTGCGCAGAAGTATTTTCTACCATTGCCTGAGAAGTTATATTATTCTTTTTTTTTTTTTTTTAGTTACTAAGATAATGTATTTTCAGTCTAGAATATTTGAATATTGTATAAAAGAATAAGGAAGGAAATAAAAATTACTGATGATCACATTGCCTTGAAATAATTATTGTTGGTATCTTGGGCTATTTCTTTTATAAGCTTTTTCCATAGCATATCTATTTTAAAGCACACACACACACACACACACACACACACAATTTAGATCACATCTTGTATCAGTTTTAAAGTCTTAATGTTACAACAGGTTGTTAAGTAATCTTTGAAAACCTAGCTTGGGTGGCTGCACAATCCATTGCGTGGCTACACTACAGCAGCTTGATTTTAATGAACTGCTCTCGCTGACTATTTCCATTGGCCAGCACCTTCTCTTTTTGAGGATATAGACTCTGCAAAAAATTAATTTCTGCTTTTTGAAAGCTTCTTGATGTTTGCCATTTTTTCAACCTAGCAATTTTCTTTAAAAATCTCTATTCATGATGGAGAAGATTCCTTGATGCATGTTGTAACCTTCCTTATTTTCCAATTTGAACATTCATTTAGAAGAAGATGTTTTCTAACTTAAGCTTTGAAAGGGCATTTAGTAAGAACTTGGTTCATGAATTATTATCTTTCCCTATCCATGGCAAGGCTCTGGGCCCCTTGACAGTCCCTTCTGCGCATGAAAAGTCAGCCTGATCTAATAGCTAATTAAAAAAAAAAAAAATCATAATTGCTTAAGTGGCACTGAGCTTCGAAGAGGTGTCAGGAGGTATAAATTCCATGCAAATGAGCTCTTTTTGTCTAAGGACAAGGGCCTCAAGATTCATTCATTTCTCCCCCTCTCCGACCAAGCAATTACTTTAAAATTTGACAAATTAGAAACGTCCTCAACTGCAATGGCAGACAAATCTGAGAGCCAAAGAGGAGCGCCTGGAGTGGAGTGACCTCTCATTCCCAGGTCAGAAGCCGCTTACCGGTGATGGGCTCTCTCTTAAGTCAAACAGAAACTCAGATAGAACCTCAGGGTCTTCATCTGTAAGAACGGGGAGAACACCACCTTGTCTATTTCATACAGGTCTCCTGCTTGTTTTGTTTTGTTGTAAGCAGCAAATGAGTTGGAGTGTGTGAAAGTACTACAGAAATGCGAGATCCTGTTATCTTTATGTTCAGGATCTGGGGAATTTCTGACTTGCATGCTTAGAAAATAGACTTCCTATCTTCTGGAAAGGAGGAGTCCCTCTAAAGTTCTCTTCATTTGTTGCATTTTGACTCTTATTCAGACTTGGTGGGGTTGCTGTGGATTTAGTGACAGACATCATTTGCTTTGGTGCAGTTTAATCTCTGCTAGAGAGAAGGATAGGATGTCCCTTTCTTCTCAAAGAGTATATTGGGGCTGGAGCGTGGTCCAGTGTAAACCCTGCCCCAGGAGTTAAGACAAAACCTTCACCTAGAATTTGGTGGTTGGCGTCTTGGAGCTGCAAAACCCAGGAGGCTCGCCAAACGCATGCATAGTGATAAATCCTAACATAGGGCCCAACAGACGCCGGCACTTTCTCAGTCACATGATT